TCTATCTAGTAGCTCTACCTAGTAGATCTACCGACTAGCTCTACCTACTAGCTCTACCTAGTAGCTCTACCTACTAGCTCTACCTACTAGCTCTACCGACTAGCTCTACCGACTAGCTCTACCTAGTAACTCTACTGACTAGCTGTACGTAGTAGCTCTACCGACTGGCTCTACCTAGTAACTCTACCTAGTAGCTCTACCGACTAGCTCTACCGACTAGCTCTACCTAGTAGCTCTACCTACTAGCTCTACCTACTAGCTCTACCTACTAGCTCTACCTACTAGCTCTACCGACTAGCTTTACCTAGTAGCTCTACCTACTAGCTCTACCTAGTAGCTCTACCTACTAGCTCTACCTACTAGCTCTACCTAGTAGATCTACTTAGTAGATCTACCAACTAGCTTTACCTACTAGCTCTACTGACTAGCTCTACCTAGTAGCTCTACCTACTAGCTCTACCTAGTAGCTCTACCTAGTAGCTCTACCTACTAGCTCTACCTAGTAGCTCTACCTACTAGCTCTACCTAGTAGATCTACCTACTAGCTCTACCTACTAGCTCTACCTATTAGCTCTACCTAGTAGCTCTACTTGCTAGATCTAACTAGTAGCTCTACCTAGTAACTGTACCTAGTAGATCTACCGACTAGCTCTACCTACTAGCTCTACCTAGTAGCTCTACCTAGTAGCTCTACCTAGTAGATCTACCGACTAGCTCTACCTACTAGCTCTACCTAGTAGCTCTACCTAGTAGCTCTGTCGACTAGCTCTACGACTAGCTCTACCGACTAGCTCTACCTAGTAACTCTACCTAGTAGCTCTACCTAGTAACTCTACTGACTAGCTGTACCTAGTAGCTCTACCGACTAGCTCTACCTAGTGACTCTACTGACTAGCTCTACCTACTAGCTCTGCCTGCTAGCTCTACCTACTAGCTCTACCGACTAGCTTTACCTACTAGCTTTACCTACTAGCTCTACTTACTAGCTCTACCTAGTAGCTCTACCTAGTAGCTCTACCTACTAGCTCTACCTACTAGCTCTACATACTAACTCTACCTAGTAGCTCTACCTACTAGCTCTACCTACTAGCTCTACCGACTAGCTCTACCTAGTAGCTCTACCTTGTAGCTCTAGCTACTAGCTCTACCTACTAGCTCTACCTAGTAGCTCTACCTAGTAGCTCCACCTACTAGCTCTACCTACTAGCTCTACCTACTAGCTCTACCTCGTAGCTCTACCCTACTACCTCTACCTACTAGCTCTACTGACTAGCTCTACCGACTAGCTCTACCTAGTAACTCTACCTAGTAGCTCTACCTAGTAACTCTACTGACTAGCTGTACCTAGTAGCTCTACCGACTAGCTCTACCTAGTGACTCTACTGACTAGCTCTACCTACTAGCTCTGCCTGCTAGCTCTACCTACTAGCTCTACCGACTAGCTTTACCTACTAGCTCTAACCACTAGCTCTACCTAGTAGCTCTACCTAGTAACTCTACTGACTAGCTCTACCTAGTAGCTCTACCTGGTACCACTTTTGACTAGCTCTACCTACTAGCTCTACCTAGTAGCTCTACCTAGTAGCTCTACCTACTAGCTCTACCTTAGTAGCTCCACCTAGTAGCTCTACCTAGTAGCCCTACCTACTAGCTCTACCTACTAGCTCTACCTACTAGCTTTACCTAGTAGCTCTACTGACTAGCTCTACCTACTAGCTCTAATTAGTAGCTCTACCTACTAACTCTACCTAATAGCTCTACCTACTCGCTCTACCTACTAGCTCTACCAAGTAGCTTTACTTAGTAACTCTACCTAGTAGCTCTGCCTACTGTCTCTACCTAGTAGATCTACCGACTAGCTCTACCTACTGGCTCTACCTACTACCTCTACCTAGTAGATCTACCGACTAGCTCTACCTACTAGCTCTACCTAGTAGCTCTACATAAGTAGCTCTATCGACTAGCTCTACCTACTAGCTCTACCGACTAGCTCTACCTACTAGCTCTACCGACTAGCTCTACCTAGTAACTCTACCTAGTAGCTCTACCTGCTAGATCTAACTAGTAGCTCTACCTAGTAACTCTACCTAGTAGATCTACCGACTAGCTCTACCTACTAGCTCTACCTAGTAGGTCTATCTAGTAGCTCTATCTAGTAGATCTACCGACTAGCTCTACCTACTAGCTATACCTAGTAGCTCTACCCTGTAGCTCTATCGACTAGCTCTACCTGCTAGCTCTACCTGCTAGCTCTACCTACTAGCTCTACCGACTAGCTCTACCTAGTAACTCTACCTAGTAGCTCTACCTACTAGCTCTACCTACTAGCTCAACCGACTAGCTTTAACTAGTAACTCTACCTAGTAGCTCTACCTACTAGCTCTACCTACTAGCTCTACCTAGTAACTCTACCGACTAGCTCTACCTAGTAGCTCTACCGACTAGCTGTACCTAATAGCTCTACCTAGTAACTCTACTGACTAGCTCTACGTAGTAGCTGTACTGACTAGCTCTACCTAGTAGGTCTATCTAGTAGCTCTACCTAGTAGATCTACCGACTAGCTCTACCTACTAGCTCTACCTACTAGCTTTACTTACTAGCTCTACCTACTAGCTCTACCTAGTAGCTCTACCTAGTAGCTCTACCTACTAGCTGTAGCTACTAGCTCTACTTACTAGCCCTACCTAGTAGCTCTACCTAATAGCTCTTCCTACTAGCTCTACCTACTAGCTCTACTTACTAGCTCTACCTAGTAGCTCTACCTAGTAGCTCTACCTACTAGCTCTACCAAGTAGCTTTACCTAGTAACTCTACCTAGTAGCTCTACCTACTATCTCTACCTAGTAGATCTACCGACTAGCTCTACCTACTAGCTCTACCTACTACCTCTACCTAGTAGATCTACCGACTAGCTCTACCTACTAGCTCTACCTAGTAGCTCTACATAAGTAGCTCTATCGACTAGCTCTACGTACTAGCTCTACCGACTAGCTCCACCTGCTAGATCTAACTAGTAGCTCTACCTAGTAACTCTACCTAGTAGATCTACCGACTAGCTCTACCTACTAGCTCTACCTAGTAGGTCTATCTAGTAGCTCTACCTAGTAGATCTACCGACTAGCTCTACCTACTAGCTCTACCTAGTAGCTCTACCTACTAGCTCTACCTACTAGCTCTACCGACTAGCTCTACCGACTAGCTCTACCTAGTAACTCTACTGACTAGCTGTACGTAGTAGCTCTACCGACTGGCTCTACCTAGTAACTCTACCTAGTAGCTCTACCGACTAACTCTACCGATTAGCTCTACCTAGTAGCTCTACCGACTAGCTCTACCTACTAGCTCTACCTACTAGCTCTACCTACTAGCTCTACCTACTAGCTCTACCGACTAGCTTTACCTAGTAGCTCTACCTACTAGCTCTACCTAGTAGCTCTACCAACTAGCTTTACCTACTAGCTCTACTGACTAGCTCTACCTAGTAGCTCTACCTACTAGCTCTACCTAGTAGCTCTACCTACTAGCTCTACCTAGTAGCTCTACCTACTAGCTCTACCTAGTAGATCTACCTACTAGCTCTACCTACTAGCTCTACCTATTAGCTCTACCTAGTAGCTCTACTTGCTAGATCTAACTAGTAGCTCTACCTAGTAACTGTACCTAGTAGATCTACCGACTAGCTCTACCTACTAGCTCTACCTAGTAGCTCTACCTAGTAGCTCTACCTAGTAGATCTACCGACTAGCTCTACCTACTAGCTCTACCTAGTAGCTCTACCTAGTAGCTCTGTCGACTAGCTCTACCGACTAGCTCTACCGACTAGCTCTACCTAGTAACTCTACCTAGTAGCTCTACCTAGTAACTCTACTGACTAGCTGTACCTAGTAGCTCTACCGACTAGCTCTACCTAGTGACTCTACTGACTAGCTCTACCTACTAGCTCTGCCTGCTAGCTCTACCTACTAGCTCTACCGACTAGCTTTACCTACTAGCTTTACCTACTAGCTCTACTTACTAGCTCTACTAGTAGCTCTACCTAGTAACTCTACTGACTAGCTCTACCTAGTAGCTCTACCTATTACCACTTTTGACTAGCTCTACCTACTAGCTCTACCTAGTAGCTCTACCTACTAGCTCTACCTACTAGCTCTACCTTAGTAGCTCCACCTAGTAGCTCTACCTACTAGCCCTACCTACTAGCTCTACCTACTAGCTCTACCTACTAGGTTTACCTAGTAGCTCTACTGACTAGCTCTACCTACTAGCTCTAATTACTAGCTCTACCTAGTAGCTCTACCTAGTAGCTCTACTTACTAGCTCTACCTACGAGCTCTACCTATTAGCTCTACCTAGTAGCTCTACCTAGTAGCTCTACCTACTAGCTCTACCTAGTAGATGTACCTACTAGCTCTACCTAGTAGCTCTACCTACTAGCTCTTCCTACTAGCTCTAACTACTAGCTCTACCTACTAGCTCTGCCTAGTAGCTCTACCTACTAGCTCTACCTACTAGTTCTACATACTAACTCTACCTAGTAGCTCTACCTACTACCTCTACCTAGTAGCTCTACCTAGTAGCTCTACCTACTAGCTCTACCTAGTAGCTCTTCCTAGTAGCTCTACCTACTAGCTCTACCTACTAGCTCTACCTAGTAGCTCTACCTACTAACAGCAGAGTAGCTGCCGGGCCCAGAGAGGGAGGAATGGGGCAAAGGCTTCAGCGATTGACACTGAAGTAATGGGGGGTTGAGCCTACGGGGGACGAAATCCGATCATTGACGGAAAGAGAGCGAGCGAGCTGAGAGCGCCCTGGAGGTTGGTGTGTCGCGCTGCAGATGAGCAGGGCCACTGCCTACAGTGAGGGGAAGCTCTTCGTGGGCTTGTTTTTTGAAAGCCGAGCTTAAAGTGCGTTTCCTTTCTCACTACCCATGTAAATGCCTCTCAGGAGGGGTTGCTCCATTCACATCGTGTCCTCATAGTTTGTGATCTTTTCCTTTTAGGCTCTCAACCTGCCGAACAAAAGATATATAAGGTAAGGGCAGATACATCCAAAAACTTTGCTGAAGATGAATGCTGATTGCATGATGTTTGGTGGCACCCATGGTGGTGGAAATAGGGCCTGAACGCCCCGGCATGCCGTGGTGGGAGTGAACATGTGAACCCTGTGATCTGCGTTCCAGAAGGAATCAAGGATTCCTCTTTTTTATTTATTTAACTCACAGATATACCTCTATACACACAGAGACCCACAGACAATAACAACAACCGCCATTTGCCAGTAAGTGGCTGTGATGTCACGACGACGCTTGTGCCAGGCTATGTGTACCTTAAGGCCACGTGAAGTGTCCAACGCCTGCTGGCAGGAGGTCACAGGGCAGACCCAGGTGCCACAGGTCGACTGACTGAGACGACTGGCTGATGCACCACCTGTGCCCCCTACTGTGGCAACTTGCTGTGCATTAGCCATCCGGCGCTCCACTCGTTGTTGTAAGCGTTGCTCCTCTGCCCTCCGTTGTTGTAGGAGGGCGACTGCCTCCAACTTCCCAGAGGCGTCTTTCACGAGCCTCCTCCACAGAGGCCGATCTTTACACCTCTGGTATCAGTCATCAGCAAGTCGACTCAGCTCTACATCTTCCTGTACCAGATCACTCCATCTCTTCTCTAGCCCGTGCTGCGCCCGTTTAGCCCCCTCTATCCAGCCGAACAAAAGCTGATTAGGCATGCGGTCACTGGGCATGCGAGAGCTATATGACCCAGCCAACGCAGCCTTGCCTGCCGGAGGAGCTCACCGATGGGACTTTGCTCAGATATTTCAAGGATTTGTGAGCTCCTCACACAATCCAGCCTGGTTAAACCCAGGATTGATTGTAGGCAGGCCAGCCTAAATGTTTCCAATCGGCGAAGATGTTCCATTAGGGGAGGGTCCACGTTTCGCAAGCGTAGAGAAGGGAGGGAATGACCCGTGGCCGAGAAGACTTGAAGCTTCGTGCGGAGCGACAGACCAGGTAACTTCCACACAGTGTTACACAACCGATGAAAAGATAATGCCGCTCGACTGATTCTGAGTGAGACCTCTGCTGTCAAACCGGAGCCGTCATGAGCACACTGCTCAGGTATGGGAAACTCTCCCACTCTCTCCACAACTGCCCCATTACCGATTGGGAGTTGTGGGGGTGGAGTTGCCCGATGGTACATAATACCCAGGCAGGTGCCTTAGTTTTGGTGGGGGTGATGGTAAGGCCCCACCTCTTAGTGGCACGCTCCAGTTTCAGCAGCAACGCCTCCAACTCCTCCTCTGAGTGAGCGGCAATTACCAAATCATCGGCATACATAACGTGGTTGACCAATAGGGAGCCATCCCTTGACCGCACCTGGGCATCGATCAGCCTTCCATTGTATCTGTACCAGATGGAAATTCCTCTGGTACAGCTATCAAAGGCTTCACGAACTGGTCGAAAAAGATGTTAAATAATGTGGGAGCCAGAGGGACATCCCTGTCGCACCCCAAGGTGAACAGGGAATGGCTCCGACTCCCGGCCACGTAGTTTTACCCAGGCCCGCTCACCATCATGAAGGTTCTTAATTATCGTGAGCAGAGGGTCAGGGACTCCACAAGCACGAAGAACAACCCACAGCCCAGGCCTACTGATGATATCATTGGCCTTGACCAGGTCAATCAAGCAGAGATGTAGGTCTTTTTAGAATTCCCTACACCTCTGCTGTAGCAAACGGACAGAAAATATGGCATCTGTGCAGGACCGCCCTTTCCTGAAACCACATTTGGGCTCCGCAAGCCTCTCCTCAGCGTGCCTGGCAAGGCGATTTTGAATAATCCTTGCCAGGACCTTTCCCGGCACACTGAGGAGTGAGATGCCCCTGTAGTTGTTACAGTCTGTGCGGTCCCCCTTCTTAAAGAGGGGACACAAGGGCATCCCTTCCAATCCTGCGGAACCCGTCCAGTGTTCCAGACTGTTGTTATGGTGTCATGTAAGGCAGTCTGTGCACAAACGCCACCCTCCCTCAGCATTTCACTTGGGAGATCATCTCTGCCTGGTGCCTTTCCTGGTCTCAGACTTTAGTACTTCCTCAACAGATGGCACCTCAGCCAGCCACTCACAGGGGGTGACTTCTTCCTCCAATATTTGTGGCACCACTACCTCAGCAGGGTCATCCCTACTTTGTCCCACGATGTTTTCCATGTCGAGGGATTTCCCCTCCCCCAGGACTTCACAGAAATGCCTCAGCAAATCTGCAAACCTGTTCCAGGGGTTGGAGATTGGATCACCATTTTTTCCCCTAATTATGGTAAGGTGTGGTGCTGCAGGTTACTTTTTTGATGGAGTTTAAATCGGGATTTGTGATCGCGGGCCATTGAGGCAGACTCCATCTCCTCAAAAACCCGCGACCACCACCCATCCTTGCAGCGCTTCACGGCTCTCCGAACCTCCGAGCGAAGGCTGCGGTAAGCCTCCTCATTCTCTGACGTGGGATGCTGTAGACGATTAGAGTGGCCCTGTCCCTTTTTTTTCAGCCATTCTGAACACCTGTTGGCCAGGGTCTCTGGTGAGGTCTGGACCGCATACCCAAAGCAGCCATTGTAGCTGCCTGAGTCACATTCCTAAACCTCGCCCATTTACCCTCGACATCTGGAGGAGTGGGGGACGATGCCAACCCCAATCGCAAGCGATGATTAAATTCTCGTTTGCAACTTTCATCAGCTAGCTGAGACCAGGCCACCTTAGGTTTGAATGGGGTCCTGGGTGTACACCCACCACCGGAGTAGAAGAATGGCAAGTGCATCTTACAGATGACAAGTCGATGGTCAGAGGGCAGATCAGCTCCAGGGTAGGTCCTGGTGTCAAGGACATGGGCTCGCATCTGCTGTTCTGTCACTATTTAGTCCATATGTTCTTTCTTGGACCCGGCATGCATCCATGATGTTGTATGGATGCGCCCATGCCAGAACAGCGTGTTGGTAATTACAAGCCCGTGGGCTGCACAAAAATCTAGCAGCCTCCTACCATTGTTATTGAGTTGATCTGGCCCATGCCTTCCAATCACTCCAGACCAGGTGCCAGCATTATGACCAACTCAGGCATTGAAGTCACCCAACAAGATGACTCTATACCGAGGGGCCACTTTAGCTAGCACCTGTGACAGGAGGTCATAGAAGGCATTTGACTCATCGGTCATAGAAGGCATTTGACTCATCGGAACTCAAGCACGTACACCAAGCTCTTAAGGCTAATGGTTACTCCGACTATACAATCCGCAAAGCTATCACTCAAACCATGAAGAAGGACCCTCTTGAGGAGCCTTTCAAAACTATCATTTTACCCTACATTGCGGGGATCACAAAAAATATCTCCAAAATCTTGAATAAACACAAGATCCAGGTCCGTTTCAACACATTACATAAAATCCGTGATCTGGTTCCATCTGTAAAAGATGTGATTCCGGACATACAGTACCCTGGTGTCTACAAACTAAGTTGCCTCTGTGGTAGTAGTTACATTGGAGAAACCAAACGCCATGTCTCGGACCGCATTCGTGAACACAAAGCAGACCTTAAACACGGTAGGACCAACACCTCGGCCGTGGCAGATCATTGTTATAATTCAGTAGGCTCACATGACATTGACTTTTCCAAGACAGAGGTTCTTTGTAAGCCATCTGGCTACCATGAGAGATTCGTTCATGAGGCTATGCACATATACAAGCACAGAGACAATTTCAACCGAGAAGATGGATTCTGGCTTAGCAATCATTGGAAAGATTTGATAAACCATTTCAGGTCTTAATTGATTGTTCACGCTTACAGTGGCTTTCAGACAGCATACATTAAATTTTTCGTCTCCCCCCTCCTCTTTTCAGAACATAGATGGACTAGTCCTTCTAAATAAACTGCCAAATCGCTGCGCGTGCCGCTAACGTTTTTTATAAATAGATAAATACACCGTTTAAAAATAAATAAATTTATGCAAACCGACACACCTGATGACGACCGTTTGTGTTATGGTCGAAACGTCGTGAGAATTTTTATTGTTTTATATATATTTTATTATTTTATTGTTTCCCTTCAACGTGACTTTACCGAAAGAACTAAGAGTATGAGGTAGGGGGTTGTTTTTGCCGGATAGACACACACACACACCCACACACTCAGACACCCACAGACACATAGAGACCCACAGACATGCTCAGAGACCCACAGACACACACAGACACACATAGAGGCCCGTAGTCACATATTTTTTACATACTCAGGCAACTGATATGCAATACATTTTGATTATGTGTTTACATATGTGTATAGAGGCTTCACTAATAACAGCTTTAGTCTGGTGCGCTAGTGTAGCATGTCCACGGTATAGTTCCTGTACTCTTAGAAAAATTCAGCTCTCCTGCATCCCCCAAATGAACACGAATGTTTGGTGTAGGTCTTGTGTATGAAACCCTTTAGTCTAAGTAAAGTAGCGTCTGCATTACATGCAATGCGCTATCCGTCCCTCTCAACTTACGTGCTGCATATCTCCCTCGCCCCGCAGATCACTCTAGCCCACGTTTTATTTGTTCCGGGTCTCACTTGGCCCACTCTGAGCTTTCCTCACATACCCACGACTTGATGTCAAGCTTGTGTAGCTCTCCCCGCCTCTATCTCCCTCTGCTTTGCTTGCTTCATGTCTCAGTCACTCCGTCTCTACCTCTCCCTCTGTCTCGCTCGCCCGCCTTGTTTACCTCGTGTCACTTCCCTCATTTGCCCCACGCCTCATTCACCCAGCCCACTCCTCACCACCCAGCCGCCGCCTCACTCACCCAGCCCACTCCTCACTCACCCAGCCCACGCCTCCCTCACCCAGCCCACGCCTCCCTCAACCAGCCCACTTCCCACAGACCCATCCCACTCCTCCCTCACCCAGCCCACTCCTCACTCACCCAGTCCACGCCTCCCTCACCCAACCGACTCTTCACTCACACAGCCCACGCCTTCCTCACCCAGCCCATGCTTCACTCATCCAGCCCACTCCTCGCTCACTCAGCCTACGCCACCCTCACCCAGCCAGCGCCACCCACACCCAGCCAGCGCCTCACTCACACAGCTCACTCCCTTACCCAGCCCACTCCTCCCTCGCCCAACCCACTCCTCGCTCACTCTGACCTTCCCAGCCCTCTCTATGCCCCACTATACACCACATTCGTCTGTAATGGTGCCTTGAAATAAAATAGAAAATAATAAGCAGTGACGTTTTAGGCAATGGCCCTACTTCACAGCAAATCGAGATCTTTATTTAGACTGTAGGAGGAGGAATCTGATGAGCTCTGAAGCTCTTTTTCACAGATGTCCAGTATGGGCAGGTCGGCAAGTCACAACAACAACACAATACACAACAACACGATAAGGAGTGCAAAATAGAGAACATGGTAAGCAAGTCACTAAATGTAAATAAATGTGGTATCGAACTTGTATAATAAATACAGTATATTTATTACATAAATCCGATTTAACAAGCTTGGGCAAGGCAGAAAAAACAAAAACATTCCCATATATTCTTGGGTCTTTCAGTAAAGTCACGTAGACAGGTAAAAAAAATAACAAAAAACTACGACATTCGATCGTAACACAAGCAATCAAAACTCTACAACATAGAGCTCGATGTATTTCTGACCGTCATCACCTAGCCAGTGAACCGGAACATGTACACCAAGCTCTCAAGATGAATGGATATTCAGACCACACAATCCGTAAAGCTATCACCCCAACCGTTGGGAAAGAACCATCTGAGGACCAAATAAAAACCATCACCTTGCCATACATAGCAGGTTCACTAAAAAGATTTCCAAAATCATGAGCAAACAATCCAGGTTCGATTTAATACAGTACATAAAATATCGTGATTTGATCCCATCTGTGAAGGATGTGATCCCTGACATGCAATAACCCGGCGTCTACAAACAAAGCTGTGTCTGTGGCAGTAGTTAGATTGGGGAAACTAAGCGGCATGTCTTGAAGCGTGTTCGTGAACATAAGGCAGATCTGAAACACGGTACGACCAATACCTCGGCCGTGGCTGATCATTGTTTTAATGCAGTGGGCTCACACGATATTGATTTCTCTAAGACGAAGGTACTTTGCAAGCCTACTGGCTATCAACAAAGATTCATTCATGAAGCCATCCATATATATAGACACAAACACAATTTTAACCCAGAAGATGGGTACAAACTGAGCAATCATTGGAAGGACGTTATTAGCCAGTTTAAGTCATAACTGGCTGTGAGGTCTCCATCCTACCTTCCGATGTTAGTAGTTATTTTCGACTCTCTGGTTTTACATTAACAGGTTAAATGCCTTTACATTAACAGATTAAATGTCTCACTAACACAGTCACTGTTGCTCGTTTTCCTCGATGTGGCGGTGGCTCTGAGATCTTACATTGACATGCTAATCTCTCAATACAATGGCCACCTCCGCAGCTTCATCTTAAATTGGCATGCTAATCTCTCACAATACAATGGCCACCTCCGCAGCTTCGTCGTCGTGGAGGTAGCTCTCCGATTGTACATTTACATGCAAATTTCTCACTTTAACATCACTTGCCCCGCCCACTTCGCTTATGACCCTTGGGCTACATCCATTTCAAACCTTTAAAATATCCTGCCTCAGCAGCTTTACCGCTATATTTTCTCCTGATGATGATTGCTTGTGTTGCGATCGAAATGTCGTAGTTTTTTGTTATTTCTTTTAACCTATCTACGTGACTTTACAGAAAGACCCAATAATATAAATTCCTGCAGTCACGAAAGCTTTAAGTCAAGACATTGCCATATGTTGGAGAGCAATCCACAGCAATGTGGTGCATGGTTTACCGATGCGATGTGGCCCAAAAATAAAACTTGGATCAGTGGATGGGGTGTCACTTTAGGCATAATACTGTGACTAGGGGTGGCACGGTGGTGAGATGTTAACTACCTCGCCTGGTATACAGGAGGTCGTGGGTTCGATCCCGACCCTGACGATGCCTGTATGTTTGGAGTTTGTATGTTCTCCCTGTAGTCGCGTGGATTTTTCTCTGAGTCCAGTTTTTCCTTCCACATTTATAAACGTGTTGGGTTCAACTGAGTCGCACTCTTAGACTTGGAGGCAGCGTATTTATTTAGTTCCAACACAATGGGGTGACTTCACCCTTAACATCACAACTACCTAGCGTGGTGAACACCCTGGCTAACTACACTGGCTATTTGAGTAACTATTTACTACGGACCTGGGACCAACAACATACTGCCCGGGTCCACGTCCTGGAAGACTCGTAGAACGGAGATCGAAGACGAAGGGTTTCTTCCCCAGGACGGACAATCCCGATCCCTCTCGGGACTCGGCTTATATTCTCTGCGGCGTGGCCGGCTCCGCCCTTGACCCACGCCCCCCTTCCAGAACCATTGGGAAGAACCTGGGTTCCAATCACATGACCCTCCTAGCCCCCTCTTGGGGCCCCCCCTGTCATTAAATCCGGTCACGTGTCCTCCCGGGTCAACCAGAGTACCATGGCCTTACCCGACCTCTCTCTTAGGTCGGCACACATGCCGTGCCCTCTAGGGCCGGCACTGCACTTACAGCATGGTGCCATCCAGTGATGTCACTCCACGCACACTGTGCCCCTCTAGGGCCGGTACTACACCCACAGCATGGTGACCGTAAACATACTGATAAACAACAGAACAATCTACACTTATGTTTGTACAACATTAAACATGTTAATACACATTCATTACACATGCAAAGACAAAGATCCCCTGCTTAGTTTTAACAGACTTTTGGGGGCAAGTGCTGTTAGCGATCACCTATAACGGCCGGCTCGACACACGAGAGGGTGCTTGGTCAGCACCATGCCCGGCCACTTTTGTATTTCTAGTGGCGACGTTTACTACACACCACACCAGGTACTCATTTGAGGCTGAGTCGACCTAAGGGAAGCCCAGGACCGGTTCAGATAATCGTCACCAGTGTTGGCCGTGAGCGGAAATCGAACTCGGGTCGCTAGGTTCGTAGCGCAGTGCGCTAACCGCTACACTACCCATAATAGAAGTTTTTTCAGTTAGATCGCGTAAATATAAATGTGTCGTTAAACCCGCCACCACCTGACACAGCCAATTAGTAAGATTTTTCACGCAAACAAAACGTGCCAATTCATTACTAGTTCAGCACACCGGTGTGTTGGAGTGTAAATCCACTACAACATTTACAATTCGAGTACCGTGACGTTTCACCGGTAATTACATCATCCAGCATCATCAGGCGGAGGCCAGAATTGGTACGCTCCCCACATTACACGTGCACACACACTGTCTTGCGCATCCACGCTCACATTGTTGATGTTTTAAACCAAATAATTTGTTTTGTCGTTCAACAGGTCAAACCGGTGGTCACCTTGGAGGTGGGTGCTGTAAATTCCCAAGCCTCTTCAACAAATGGAGCTTGCTTCTGCTTGGCCTGGTCACCATTGCAGAGCCATTCTCATTTGGCTGTCGGATTTTATGACGGTAAATTTATTTTCTTCGTTACTCTTACACCGCTTCATTCGGGGAAAATTGCATTGCATACAACGCTGCAGAAATTTTTTAAGGCGCACATTTTTTTTTTGCAAGCAAAATCTACAATTTGAATGTTTCCGCTCAAGAATGTTTCAGTGTTTTGACTCCTTCAGCGTGCATTTGTTAGTTTCCGTCTGCTACGCAGTAGAACTGCCCTGCCTGTTATCACGCACTAATTGTCAAATGCAAAGACAAAGATCCCCCTTACAGACTTCAACATTCTGTTGGGGCAAGTGCCGTTAGCAAGTAGCACCTATGAAGTCCGACAAGACACATGAGGGGGTGGGTGGGCAGTACCATGCCCGGTCGCCTTTGTCTCGCCAGTGCTGATGTTTTACACACTGCAATAGGTACTCATTTAAGGCTGAGTCGACCTAGAGGAGGCCCAGGACCATTTCAATATTCGCTGTTATCGGTTGTGAGCGGGAATTGAACTTGGGTCACCGGGTTCGTTGTGCAGGGCACGTTAGCCACCACACTGCAGCTCCACACACGCACATACGGAAGCACACACAAAGTTGTTGACGTCACCACAGCAATTGCATGTGGCAGGAAACTATTGAGGTTTGATTGATTTAATTTCTTTACACTTATTAGAAACATTTAGCCTAAAGCTACTTTACAAGAATGCCCCGCGAAAGTGAGTGTGTGTACGTACGTTGAACTTCTTTTGCACCATACGTAGCCAACTGTGCCAATCGGAGGTGCAGTGAAATGACATCTACAGATTTTGGCGTGATCACAATTTAATCTTGTGATCTTGTCTACATCATCAATAACATGTTATTTCTAAACGTCTCTTGCCCTATGATAGTCGTGGAAGATGCTGATATGGGTGAATGGAGATATTTTATTTTCCTTTTGATGTGAAAGCAGCAAGATTACCCTTATTTACGGTCTGTTTCAGGTTCCGTTGGGCTGTGGGATTTAACCACTAAATCCAGCCTCCTCCGTGTAAAGAAGCCAGACGGAAACGTGATTCTGTATCCGTACAACACGTTCAGCGCCCACGACAATCTCGTAAAGTCACTGGCTTGGTGTCCCATGAACAAGTAAGTCGTTTTGAATGCTTACAGCGAGACTTCGACGTTAAAAAAAGACTGACAGAGAAAAGATGTTGGCCCTCGAAATATATTGCTGCAGAAGGATAATGTTGCATCTTAAGCTGGACCCAAAGAGTGCCCAATGTAGAAGTCAGATAAACGTTGCAACATAGAAGACAACTTGATGATGCGGGCAAGTGATGAGAAAGAAACTATATTCTTTGGGTCTTTCGGTAAAGTCACGTAGATAGGTTCAAATTAATAAAAATAAAATAAACCAAAAACTACAACAAGCAGTCGTCATCAGGCGGAGAGAAAAAAAGAAACTGCCTCTATTTGGACACCATATGTATGATGGATAACAACAGGAAAATTTAAAGTGTGTTGTTTGGAAAAATGGAAGGAACCGGGAAGAGAGGAAGACCTCAGAGAATGGCTTGATGACGACATAAGAGATTATGAATTACTGCAGTCACGAAAGCTTTAAATCAAAATTTAAATGTGGCCACTACTTGAGCATATTGGCACAAGACAGAGGAAAATGGAAAAAATGACCAAATGTGCATTGGACACCTACTGGATATCTGTCCATGGATCGTGATGATGATGATTGAAGAAATGGCTTAAATTGTAGAATTTCATTTCACCTTTTGAACTGCAGATTCCTCTGCAAGGAGGGTTAGTCATTTTCAGGCCTCGATGGCCATTCCCCTGCACAGCGACAAGCCGATGGTCAGAGCCTCACCCCAAAGGTTCATTCTTGAAAGTTTTCCGTGATTTCCACAGAATGCTTGTGCTACACTACTTTTCCCCCGGAGTCCTTTGGCCCTGGGAAGCAGATTTACGTAGGCTAGATGTGGCGAGGGCGGTTTTCAAAGGCCTTAGCAGCTGGCGCAGATGGGACGAGCATTTTGTGTTGTGCAAAGGCATAAACAAAGCGGCATGGAGCCTCCTGGGTGACAGGGGGAGGTTGTGGTGCGGTGGCACGGCCCCGCGGTAGAGCGCTCGCCGCGTGTCGCGAGGGTTCGTGGTTCAAATCCGGCAGGCCGTCCTGGTTATCACTGCAAGCATATTAATTGTATAATACACGGCCGATTCACAGCAGACGTTAAAAATCCTCTGATGTCATTCAGAGTTCGCCATTATGTCTGTATGTATGTTGAATTTCTTTTGCACTGCACGTAGCCAAATCGTGCTTAATCGAAGGTGCGCGGGAAGGACAACAAAATAAACACAAAAATCTGATTTAAATAAATCAGTTTTGTCAATCGAGGTTATTTAATAGTGCACGGCTCCAGTGGCGTCCTAATATCGGAGGGAAGAGTATTCCGGACGGAAGCAGAAGCACATCTGAAAGTGTGTGATACAGTGACTGTCTTTGTTAGATGGTTGGCCAAAAGCTGGTGCTGAGAGGATGACCGGAGTCCGATTGATGGTTTATGTTCCTTGACGAGATCAGCAAGGTATTGTGGTTCATTTGTGGCAAGCACTTTGTGTGAATGAATGTGACCTTATAATGTAGTGACCCAAAAGTGTTGTAACGTACACAAAGGCAAAAACTAACTCGTTTGTGATGTACATGTAGTCACTATTATTAACGGGCGTGTGTTTTTTTATGTTATATCTCGTGCTGTATTTTTTTAGAAACTTCTTGGTGACAGCCAGCCACGACCGTTGGATCAAGTTTTGGGATGTGCGACGGGCGGAAGAGCCGAGCAGCGCGATTCGCCGCCACCAGAACACAGAGGTCGCGTGGCTGTTGCACAGCTGCGGGGTCGTGGTGGCGCAGGAGAATTGCTACGCTGCGTTAGTTCACAACACTCGCTGGGCTCACACACACACTAGCTGGCTTCACACACACTGGCCTCACACACGCTCACTGTCCTCTCACACACGCACACTCACTGGCCTCACACACACACCGGCCACACACTCACACTCACTGGCCTAACACACTCACTGGCCTAACACACTCACTGAGTACATAAAACTGCAGATTTTTTAACACTAATTACAATCTTGGGCAAGGCAGCTAAACAACAACAACAGTCCCAGACCCACACCAAGACAACACACAGAAGTCCCTCAATAAAATGGCACATTAAAATGTAACTATCCACACTCGGGTAAGGATAAAAGTTACAATACACACCTCAGCATAATGAAACCTGGCAACATGTCATACATATAATATGTCATTGGTATGCTTATTGTTTTTTTTTTATAATCGAAGGACATTTATTGAGAAATCAATGTTTTTTTTGTGAATTTGGGTTACAGATATGGAGTAAATGGCATTCACTACCTGGATTATGGCTTCCTGGGATACAAACCGTACCTCTTCAACCCCAGAGTGGGAACGATTTGGGTTCGTATATATTTCACAAGCTCAGAAAACGAGTTTTTACTTTTGCATCGAGGCCTCTTTTTTTCCCACATCAACGCCTCGCAAAGCTAAGTTCGTGTTTTTGTCTCACACTTGTACATTTGTTTTGCTATTTACCTTCAACCCCACATTTGTTTTCCTGTGGAAATGGTGACAGCAGCCACTGTCTGGTTTGTGGTACACTTTAGTTACACACGGTGGAACATTCTTGAATAGTAAATGTTCACTAGTTTGCTTCGTCTATAAGAATCAGAATCTTTATTTAGACTGCAGGAGGAATCCGATGAGCAATGAAGATCTTTTTCACGAATGTCCAGTAGGGGCGCAGGGTCATAAATTTACAACAACAATAAAACAGCACGATAGGAGTGCAAAATAGAAAAAAAGGTAAAGCTCATCACACAAAAATCAGTAAAGAAATAAAATAAAAATCCATAAAGTATTCTAGTACAAATTGCAAAAGTGCATACATTCTTGCAGATTTTTCAACACTAAGCGCAAGCTTGGGAAAGGCAGCAAAACAACAACAATCCCAGACCACACCAAGACATTCATAATAAAGGTTTTTGGGTTAGATCGCATTTATTTATAAATGTGTCGTAACCCTCCACCACCCGACACGGCCAATCAGCAAAAAAGTGTCACGTTGACAAAAGACAAATAATTCACTACTTTAGCCCACCGGTGTGTTTAAGAGTGAATCCACATTTACAGTTTGAGTACGACGTTTCGCTGGTAAATACATCCAGCATCATCGGGCATTTCGCCAGAATGGTAAAGCCCTCGCTTGCTCCCGGTTTTATATAGAGCAGCAGGGTGACGTCATCACTTAACTCATATCAGGTGCAGTGATTAGAGGCGGAGGGGGGGGTATTGTAATTATATAATCGATTAGTAATCAGTCATTGGTTATGATTAGTAATGAGTTGTAGATTAGTAATTCTTTAATCAAAATGTAATGTGTATTATTTAATAATACGCTTCCAGGCCGCACTAAGCCTGTAGCTGTCAGAGCAATTAAAGTTATTCTTGTTCCTCTCAATTTCAATGGATTCTCTAATTAGTCTTTGCCAGTAATAATTAGTTTTACACACCACTGCAACATTGTCAAAATCAATTGAGTGTCCTTGTTGACAAGCATGTTCTGCCACTGCCGACAGTTGTGTTTGAGATAATTTAATATTTCTCTGATGTTCTTTTAGTCTTACACTGATGTTACGTCCCGTCTGCCCAATGTAGCAGCTGCCACATAAACAATTAATCCGATATACACCTTCTGTTGATAATTTGTACATGGAAAACTTTGAAATAAGAGCACTTGCCTCGAGCACATTAAAACCATCCTTTTGGTTTAGATATGTGGATGACACTTTGGTTGTCTGGCCACATGGTAAAGATACACTTAATGATTTTCTAAATCATCTCAATGCACAAAACCTGGCCATCCAGTTCACCATGGAAATGGAGGTGAATAACACACTCCCATTCCTAGATATTTTGCTTGGACATGGCTTAAACGGTAAAATAACACACAGCGTTTACAGAAAGCAAACGCACACTGATGCCTATCTGAATGCAGAATCACATCATCATCCAGCTCAGAAATCCTCTCTTATCAAGACGCTCATACATCGGGCTAAAACAGTGTCAGATGGTGAGAGTCTAGTGAGAGAGATTAAGCACGTTAAAGACGCACTACGACAGAATGGCTACAATAATGCTCAAATTAACAGAGCACTGAATGCCAAATCACGATCGCAAAGCAATACTGCTGAAAGCGACCAGATTGTTAAAACAATAAAAATTCCATATATCTCAGGAGTAACTGACAAATTAGCCCGTGTTTTGCAAAAGCAAAACATTACAGTAAGATTTGGTACAGTACACAAAATTGAAACACTAGTATCTTGCACTAAGACGCATTACCTAAATTATCAACAGAAGGTGTATATCGGATTAATTGTTTTATGTGGCAGCTGCTACATTGGACAGACGGACGTAACATCAGGTAAGACTTAAAGAACATCAGAGAAATATTAAATTATCTCAAACACAACTGTCGGCAGTGGCAGAACATGCTTGTCAACAAGGACACTCAATTGATTTTGACAATGTTGCAGTGTTGTGTAAAACTAATTATTACTGGCAAAGACTAATTAGAGAATCCATGAAATTGAGAGGAACAAGAATAACTTTAATCGCTCTGACAGCTACAGGCTTAGTGCGGCCCTGGAAGCGTATAATTAAATAATACACATTACATTTTGATTTAAAGAATTACTAATCTACAACTCATTACTAATCATAACCAATGACTGATTACTAATCGATTATATAATTACAATACCCCCCCCTCCGCCTCTAATCACTGCACCTGATATGAGTTAAGTGATGACGTCACCCTGCTGCTCTATATAAAACCGGGAGCAAGCGAGGCTTTACCATTCTGGCGAATGCCCGATGATGCTGGATGTATTTACAGCGAAACGTCGTACTCAAACTGTAAATGTGGATTCACTCTCAACACACCGGTGGGCTAAAGTAGTGAATTATTTGTCTTTTGTCAACGTGACACTTTTTTTGCTGATTGGCCGTGTCGGGTGGTGGAGGGTTACGACACATTTATAAATAAACGCGATCTAACCCAAAAACCTTTATTATGAATAATATTGGTCGCGAAAGCCTACGTGTTAAACTCACACCAAGACAACACCCAGTAGTCCCTCAATACAATTGCACATTAAAATTCAACTCACAATACACGCATTAAGGATCACATTTGCCAATGTGGCTGTTTTCAGCACCAATATTCAGCTTCAGGATATTTTTTTGAAGGTAATTATGGCTTAATGGAGGTAAAGGTCCTTTTTTATGTTTTGAATGTTCCAGAGGCGTTGTTAAGCAGTGTCTTGCTATATCCGTGTCTTCTCAGAGTGTGTCGGGCTCGGACTGGCTGAATGCGGTGTTTTCAGGAGAAAGCACGGGAGAAGTGATCGGCGCCATTCTTCCAAACTTTTGGAAGAACCCACACAACATCAAGCACCCCTACTACAGCAGATTTGTAAGCAGCTAGTTTTTTCCAAGCTTTTCCACGTAACATTTTGCTTCTGATTGCCATACCAGTGACTGAAGGAGCATGATTTACCAATATAGGAATTTTGGGGGCCGCAAATGTCCCTTCAGATAAATACTGATAACACTTATTCTTTTATTAATGGTGCTCATTACGGTTATCTGTAAACCCAAGGTTGAAGACGTAAGATTCATCACGTCTGCTCGCAGCTAAAACGTCTTCGTATCATTTAACTCGTACTATTTGTGAAATACTCTTACAAGCAATAACTATTGAGGGTTTCCTAAGTATCTTCTCGTGTCAAATTTAAAATACCAGATTCTAATTTTCCAGACACGCTTTGGTGCGTGGCGCATTCTCTAAAGAGAAGGATGTTTGCTTTTGGCCGTCTTTACTCTGAAGGGTTTTTGCTTTAAGTCGTTGGCCTATTATCCATTGGTGTTGTTGAAGGCAGTGTGGTTTATTTTAACATTGATAAGAGAGATGCTTATATTTTATTATTTGAGCAAATGATGCTTTACCTAGCCACCCATAGTTGGATAATGTTATCAGTGATGAAACCTACAGTGATACTCTCGTTACAGCCAGTGTATGCAACCCAGCTGAAAGACGCCCCTTGCAATGAAGAAGGACATCGGGAGGAAGCAAGTCTGCCCAGTTCTACATTAAATGAGCAAAATGTGACAGTGGTGGCAACGGATGGAAACCTGTCCAAGTACACAGTCGTGTTTCATGACACTGACCTGGTAGGGACCTGGGCACATCCATCATCATCACATGGCTCTGCTGCTCACCCATTGCCTCGCGCGGCAGCCAAGCGGTCATTCCAAGAGAGATGAATGGGAAAAATTGTACTCGGATGAAATATAACAGATAATACATTTATTCAGGGGAGTTAAAAGAGAGAGGTGACAAGATCTGTATCCATGCCTTCAACAAATGCCGGTTACTGCTACTCACCCCACGATGGTGTCCCCATATACATCATCCACAAAACTCCCAAACGATCCAGAATGCCGTTGCCAGGCTTCTCACCCACAGCCATGAACAGAAACATCACCCCAGCACTCGGATCCCTCCACTGGCTTCCAACGGTCCGAATTCAACTTCCGGACCATACAGGCAGACCTCGCTTGGCACTCAAAATGTGTTCCTGGAGGAGAAGTCGGCGCTATCAATCCGGCGCTAAAATAGGGGTTATTATACCGCTGTATATCACATACGAAATAACGCTGTTAGATATGAGGGCTTCATTGGTGTATCGGTAATACAGTAGATAATTGATTATCCAGCATGCGATTATCCGGCTGCCAGTATCCGGCAGCCCCAGGCCGATCCAGCAAACCTCCATCACAGCTAATGATGCAGTCGTCACTAGTACACACTAGTAATTTGGCTGTCGCATGATGAAGGTCGTAATTACTGGTGAAACGTCGTACTCAGATTGTAAATGTTGTGGCTTGGCTCTCCAACACACCGGTGTGCTGTACTAGTGACGAATTGGCATGTTCTGTTTATGTGACAACCCTTACTACTAGTTGGCTGTGTCGGGTGGTAGTGGGTTTAACGACACATATATTTACACGATCTAACCCAAAAAAACCTCTTGTGGATGATATTGGTCACGAAAGCCTCCGTGTTAAACAGATGATAAGAATAATAATTAATTATCACATCATTAGTATGTACTGTACTCACGAGTGCATTCTACTGTACTGCAAAGCAGCAGTCGCTTCTGAAAAAGAGCTATATAGCTCAGTGGGCCTTACCTGGCAATATACAAAAAAATGTTCATAGTTTTTAGCGGTGGTAGACGAGGTTGCAGGAGCTGCTGCAGTCACTCCGGGTCTTAGTGGTGCCCTCGGTCAACATTTCTCTGGTGAGGTATATTTTAATATTTATTTTATTTTACCAGGTAATGCCCACTAGCTATATAGCCATTTTCCAGATGCGAACTGGCCACAAATGATAGCTCAAAGAGGTGGCTTATCACGTGGAAATGTATAGCAGCCAAATAGTCGAAACGCATGTTGATTGTAAATGTGGAGGGAAAAACCGGAGGACCTAGAGAAAAATCCATGCAACCACGGGGAGAGAGACATGCAAACTTCAAATATACAGCAGCTGCCAGGGTCAAGATCGAACCCACGACCTCCTGTATACCAGGCGAGGTAGTTAACATCTTAACAGTGTGGCACTTTTAGGTGAAGCCTGAGACTCCTGGTCTCATGAGATCTTACTTGACTAAATGTACAGGAATAAGATATATTTTTTACAATGCAGTCCTGACCACGAACTGTGATAATATAATCGCGGGTAGTGGGGTCTAGGTGGCTTGGCGTGCTTCGCTGTCATTGCCTGAGTGAGTGGGCGGAGTTACATGTCCTCGAGCGACGCTGCTGCATGTTCTCACTCGTCGGGCACTTTGTAGATATTTCTATTTCATTTATTTTAGTTAAAAAAATGTTCTCGAGAACAAAGAGCACTGTCACGAGACTGGCGTTCTGCGGGCTTGCGCTAAGCGAAGTATTCTCGTAATGGGAAGAGAGTGGGAAACATAAGTGAGACGTGAGAGGTGAAACATTCAACCATGTCCACAGTCGAATCCATGTACTTTTAGACATTCTGCTCTGCTGCATCGCCTAAATTAACACGAATGTTGGTTGCTACAGAGAGGCAGGGAGAGAGACGCAGAGACGTGTGGTGTCACATTGGTAGATAGATGGAAAAAAAATTACATTTATTTTGACAGGGTTCAGACCTATACAAATGTTAACATTTTGTTTTAATATCAATAAGCAATGCATTGTCGCTGAGTATTTGTAAAAATTGCTTTAAATGAAGTCAGGATGTAATGAATCACAAAGCACATGGATCACGTATTGCCGTGTGTTTTTGTGCTGCAGACGTGTTTTGATGATACCAATAACCGAGAACCCTTTCAAAACATGAATTTTACAAGCAGCAACCACGCAACCTTGGAAGGAAAGCTCCCCATTACGGGCATTCACAAGGTAAGACACCGACAGTGGCTCGGTCACGAGACACGGTCAAAATGAAAGGGACAGATAGCTTGAGCTACAGACCATGAAGTTGGTAAAGTGCAGTTGCATATTTTTTGTATTAATCTGTGTTGGAAGAAATGTGTTTCTGGGACTTGTGTAGAGAAACCAGTCCAATCACGGCGGCTGCCCTGATCTGAACCCAGGATTTGCACGGTACCAGCTTGGTGCTCTGACCTTTGAACTTTGGGGACCATGGTGGCTAGGAGATGTTAACTACCTCGCCTGGTATACAGGAGGTCGTGGCTTCTATCCCGACCCTGACTCATATTTGGAGTTTGCATGTTAGTCTCCCCTTGGTGACGTGGATTTTTCTCCAGGTCCTCCGGTTTTTCCATCCACGTTTAGAAACACAACATGTGTTTAGAGTATTTGACTTATAAATTTCCACGTGATAAGCCACTTCGTTGATATATAATTTGTGGCCAGGTTGCTTCTGAAAAAGAGAAATATAGCTGAGTGGGCCATACCTGGTAAAATAAAAAAACAGTTAATTTCACGGTTGCTCTTTCTGTTATTTTTTTTTACTGAGCCCCCTACTACGATTGGTGTATCCACTACAGCAATGACTGTTCCATAGTTGCTCGTGGCAACATGCATTCTGTCATGTTGCCTCTCAAGAGGATTGAGTCATCTTCTTGTACCGTTTGAATTCGATGGTTGATGTTAACCGACTTGATTTGGCTTTTAGCTTGGATTTCTTTTTGTAAACTTTGGAAGTGTAAATAACCACACAGTATAATTGATATAGCATCTAAATGCATCTCCAGACGTTGTAGAGAATGGTGGTATAAGAGCATTACTCTTTATTTGTTTACATAGTGAAAGAAACGGTGATAGTGAGGGGGAATGAGCCTGGATTTGAACTGGAGCGGTGAGTCAACAGCACGGACGGCTGGTGGAGAAAGTTCCAAATCAGAAGAGGAGGAGGTGACCTCCTGACTGAGCAGACTGATTGGAGGAGGGGTGGGGGTTTCAACAGAAAGCCCGAGCTGCTTGCTAGAGCAGAGTGTGGGAGTAGAATGAGACTGACTGAAAAAGTTAATAAAGTCCATGGGGGATCTTGAATATATTGAGGCTAATCTTGAAGTTGATATGAGATTGGATTGGGAGCCAGAGGAGTTGATCGGGGGTATTGGGACGATCTGGTCACGTTTACGATTGACAAGTATTGCAGTGGCATTTTGCATCATGTTGAGTTTGGCAGTTAGGGCTTTGGGGAGACCATAGAGAGAATTGCACTGGCGGAACTTACAACAGTTGCCGTGTTGTTGGTTAGGGTACAGAGATGTCTTTGAAAACATGAGGTTTATCCGTAAGAATCCAGTCAATGCTATTTGTAATTTCTCCATTTAGGCTCCTCTACATCCATTTTCTAGATTACTTCATTGTGAAAAAAGCGTTAATCACATTCATGTTCCTTCTGGCCGCATACCCTAATAGACCTTTTCCTCTCTCATTTGTTCTCCAATACCAAATTTACCAATCATCATCCTCCCATCACTGCTTTTTACCTAGATTTGCATTGAAGTCACCCAATATGATATATTTTATCATTCTTTGAAGCCGATCAGATTATTTCAGACATTTTGTCTCCTGACACATCTTCTTGGCTGCTTGTAAGGACATACATTTCAGTTCCGTGAGGATAAACAGAGTATTTGTCTCTACGTTCATGTATGTGGAGTTGTTTGTGTACAGTGTTCTGCTCCCAGAGACTCAGGTTTGATTTTGGCGCTTGGAACTATTGACAATTGATATCTGTTCCTGGTGTGATGTGTCTATTACAATGGAGATTACGGGTGGCCAAACTACAGACTTATATCATACTGGCTTTAAAAGATACAACACTTGCCTCTAGACGTTATTCTACCAAATGTAAAGTTGGAGTCTTTGTATGTGTATATATCCATAAGTATATATTTTGTTAACTTTTCACTCATTAAATCCTATGTAATGTCCTTTTCTTCTTGCAGGTTCGAATTAATCCCAACCTTGATGCCCACGTTTGGATACTGTCAGCTGGCTTTTCGGGAATTATTCGGGCACACAATGTGTTTGCCATGAATACTGTGCTGACAGACCCACCAAATGAAGCCTGCCAATCAAATGCTTCAGAGTCCACTAAACAAATATAAAAATGTCTTGGAAATTGTAAATAAAGGAGGGCACGCTTGCATATTAAAGACGGTCACCGCATTGCGCTCGTTCAGATGCACTTCTGTGGCCGTTTGGAACGTTCTCCCTTCCGATATTAAGAAGCCGCTGGACCTATGCACCTTTAAATCTAGATGGAACACATTTCTTTACAACTGATTTTTTTTTCCCCCCGCACCTCCGATGAGTACGGTTGGTTACATACAGTGGTGCGAGAGAAGTTGTACATACACACAGTACATATTGACAACAAGAAATTGGGACGTGTGATTCACAACAGGAGCTGTATTACAAACACAGTTTGGAGAAACGATTGCATGCCTCGTGGCAGCAGGGCTCCTCGTTGATAATCGATTGTGGATTTGAGGAATCTCAGATTGCACAAAGATGTGTGTTGTGTTGGGTCAGACCAGAGGCTCGTATTCCATGCCCTCTGCTCGCTCCTATTCAAGCAATACAGTCCGTTCTCCTATAACGCGGTAGTTGCATTCCTGAACAACACTGCGTTGTGAAAAAATCGCGTGAAAGTAAATAATGTGTAACATGGTAAAAACAGTCCGCGATAACACGTGAGATACGTACGCAGGCTGAACAAAGACTGAGCCGCATGGGTAGCATCCAGCAGCATCCCGCCTTGTGCAATGCTACGCCGAGGCAGCCGTACGACCGCTTATTTCTATTCGTGCGACGGTCCGTTCGCTCCATCGCGTTATATATATAATTCGCGTCCGCATTATAAAAAATGTTTCCTCGTACATTCATCGTGTTATATGCAATTTGCATTTTAAAAACGCGTTCCAGGAGAATAGACTACTCCTCCCTCTCGGCTTGAGGCCTCCAATGAGAGAGTGATCGCGTGCACATTTGTAATTCATAATCATCGCTCTAACTAGGCGATGATGGTTAAAATGATCCTAGCAGTCATATTCTCACATTCGTGACATTTCTATGCATTTAAAAGGGTTGAAGCGTGCATCGTTTTATTTGGAGGTGATGAGCGCTGTTTGAAAACTTCATTCGCAGAGTAAAACACATCATCACAGACTCCCTCAGCCATCGACGACCTTGCCAAAGATGTCCGAGTCCAGGCTCAAATCTTTCCCTTCTCTCTTGCGCCTGTGACACTTGACTGCTTCTTTTTGTTAAGAGGCCACTGAGTGCACGGCCTCTCGACGTCGCCGTGGTGAGATGCTTTGTGATGGCCACGGTTTTTGTTTTGTGAAATATGAGACGTGCGACAAAGCAGAAGGAATGTGACCATAAACAAGGTTCCACTATACCCCAGTATCACGCAATGTTTTTACACACTGTTATTCAACTTGCCCTGTTCGTGTATATTCTTGAAAATCTTTAACGTTTAATATCTTCGGATCTACGAAGCCTAACCAGGCTGTTTTGGTTGCTTCCCTTTGAGTTAGCGACTTGCTGTAGTGGGCACAGTGCCAAGGCTTATCCAGCCACTCGAGTGCGGGAATTGAAGTCATTTTATGTTTGGATAAAAAAAATGTTCCCCCATTATCGCACTGTTAAATAATGTTAACTAAAAAAAGTGAGATATAAAAGTGTTTGTGATTACAACCTACATCAGTTTTGTAAATGTCTGCACACTAACGAAAACTACTTACACGGAGGTGTCTCCATCAAGAATGTGGAAGTAGAAAAAAACCCGTTTTAGAACGTTCAGTTTGACAATTACACATGCCGAAACAGGGACTCCTCGACTTACGAACGAGTTCGGTTCCAGACGTCTGTTCGTAAGTCGATTTGTTCAAATTTACTCCTGTCGATTCCAAACATGTACGGCGTGTACACTAAACACGGAGAATGGCTTTAAAAGTTGTATAATCTCCTGCAACTATAGATGCCACTGGTTCTTTATGTTCTGCCTGGCCTGGGCAGAAATGCTGGGTAATGACACTGAACAACCACCGCCATCTATTGCGCGGTGGTTGAACTTACAACTCTCGGTCCAAAAAGGCAACTGGACATATGGCCAGGTTTGTTCGTATCTCTGAAAGTCAATAAGTCGAATGTGTAAATGTGACAAATCTTATGAGTGGCTTAGAAACGATATATGGGCTTTTAAAACCAAAACATACATGTTTTGGGTATAATGTAAACGTTTAAACTAGAAACTTACTGCCACCGATTGTTCAGAGTTTGGGTGTTTGACTGTGGGCTTGCGATGTCTGATTACACAGGCACTATCACAAAATAATTGTTGATCATTTAAGTTTTTTCTTTAAGTAATATGGAACCTAAAATCGTGAACGTGACAGAGGGTGAAAAAACATGCGTGCAAAAAACATGCGTGCAAATAGAACATGAATCCGGGGGTCGCGGTTTCTTGTGATCATTTTAAGTTTATTTTAACATGTTAAATATATACATGTTTTTCCTAACACCAAATGGTAATACAGTAATAACTTCGCTCACTCTTAAAGACATTATTAACCATTTTTATTTTACCAGGTAAGGCCCACTGAACTATATCGCTCTTTTTCAGAAGTGACCTGGCCACAAATAATAGCTCAACGAAGTGGCCAAATACTCTAAACGCGTGATGTTGATTCTAAATGTAGAGGTAAAAACCGGGGGGCCGGAGAAAAATTCACAACTACGGGGAGAGAGACATGCAAATTCCAAATATACAGTAGGCATCAGAGTCTGGATCGAACCCACGAACTTTATTCCAGGTGAGGTTGGTTAACATCTCGCCACCAGTGACGTGCGGTGAGGTCAATGGCTGGGGAAGCACTGGCTAGTGTCAGAGCCAGATTAACACACTGAGGGGGACGTGTTAGACACGTCCCCCACAGTGAGGCAGATGTGATAGCTGCCTCCCCTGGTGCTTTTTCATTGCAGTTTTATGACGAGACCAGCGAGCCTAAATATCTTTATACACATACGTGAAATAAGTTACCTGGAGTAAGGAAGGCGAGGACATGAAATGTAGGGGTCTACAAACATTACATTGGTGAGATACTGAGATAGTAACAGGCACGCGCTTATTGCCCGCGCTCCATCCAGTTACTGAGGGGTTGTGCAATCAGAGGGGAGGCTGAGCTCGTCGCTGCCTCACCTCTCGTCTCTTCCTGTATTTGCAGCGGAGCTCTGCAAATCTGGCGATTTTAACTATAAAAATGATTGGAATCGTACAGAAATGACATTTATAATACAGATCAGTGGAAAAATCTTAATATTTAATTTGATTCTTTTTTCGTAACAGCTATTTTCATTGGAGTATGACAGGTGAGGCTCTGCCTCCCCTGCCTCCCCTTACCGCACGTTCCTGCTCGCCGCCATGGCGAGGTGGTAACTCGGAGCAACCACGGACAAGCGAGAAGGCAGCAGCCAGGCGATGAGCCACGCTATCAACGGCCAATTAATGAGTTTTACACGTGGGACTAAATTGGCGGACCGTTAGAAACACCATGTGTGAGAGGTGGCAACAGCAGCAACATCTCGTACACACTGAGCAGGTGTCGTCCACATCTATGCTCTGGCAAGCCAGCCAGAGTATGGCACCTTGACTCCCACGGCAGGGGACTGTCACATTTGTATGACCTCCCCCCCCCCCAACAGCAAACGCCGTTCACGAACTGGTGGTGACGTCAACACGGCGCTTGTGCCATGCTAGGTGCACTTTTGAGGCCTTTTGAGGCCACTTGAGGTGTCGAAACCCGCTGATAGGTTATGGAACGGACCGAGGTGCCATGGGTTGACTGACGTGAGATGACTGACAGATGCACCATCTGCGCTCCCCATTGTGCCAACTCTACGTTTTAGCTACCCAGTTGCTCTCTGCTCGTTGTGAGCGTCATTCTTCTGCCCTCTGTGTGCTGGAGGGCGACTGCCTCCGACTCCCCAGCAGCGTCCTCCACAGGCCGATCTCGACACCGCTTGCTGGTTACCAGTCCATCGGCAAAGTCCAGTCAACTCCACATCCTTCTGTTGACCACATCAATCCACCTCTTCTGTAGCCCGTGCCGAGCCCGAGTAAGCCCCCCCCCACCTCTCTGGGAAGGCCTCGGTCGTTCGGCATCGGATTCCACCCGAGCGAGAGACGGTTTTGGGGGAAATCTGAGTGGTGAGGAGGGGCGGAGGCGTTTTGTGGCCGGTTGCACCACCCGTGGGCGGACAATGGAACTGCAGCGGGATTGTAAATTACAGGAATTCCCGGAGTATTACAACTTGCAGTATTTCATTCACCAGATAAGGCCCACAGAGCTATATATAGCTCTTTCAGAAGCGACCTGGCCTCAAATGATAGTCCAACGAAGTGACTTCTCGGGTGGAAATGTATAGCAGCCAAATACAATACTCTTAACGCGTGACGTTGATTATAAATGTGGAGGGAAAACCAGGAGGAACCGGAGAAAAATCTACGCAATCACAGGGAGAGAGACACGCAAACTCCAAATATACAGCAGGCGTCTGGGTCGGGATCGAACCCACGAATTCCTGCATACCAGACGAGTGAAATAACATCTCCCCACCGCGGTGCCCCTCTCGCCACAACCAAATTTAGTTCCAGTGCTCAGTAAGGAGGATAAAAAAACACTCAACGAGAGAATGCCGCCTCTGCTGGGATGTGGGGCGCGACTGGGCGGCGTCTGAGCGTGTCCCGCGATTGCCGTGACCCTGATAGACAATGCCCCCCCACCCCCGCCGTGACAAACCCGACGAAGTATCTTTAGTTTACGCATCAGTCACACGACGTTGTAGGAGTGCATCGTTTCAACAGTGTCGGTTCAAACTGGACCTGCATCACCGATGCTGGTGAACTCACCATGACAAGGGATGCAGCTGCGTGGGGAGCGATGCAGCGCGCTGCGCTCCGAACCCGGCGACCCGAATTCGATTCCCGCTCACGGCCAACACCAGTGGCGAATACTGAACAGGTTCTGGTCCTCTCCTAGGTGGACTCTGCCTCAAATGAGTACCTGGTTCATAGGTGCTCGCTTACAGCACTTGCCCCAACAGTCAAAATTTAAATCAAAATTTAAGTCTGTTAAGGGTATACGGGGAATCTTTGTATGTTGTACTGTATGAGAAATATGCATGTTTATGGTATTTGTATGTATATCAGCACGGCTGGCTGTATACGGTGCGAAATAAGTTCACCATACATACGGTCGACTCGGCCTCGTAGCTAGTGCAGTGTGTAAACATCGCGAGCACTGGGGGAGACCGCCAAGCAGGGCGTGGTGCTGGCCACCCACCCCCTCGTGTGCCGCAGTGCCGGCTCTCATCGGGTGCTGCTACTCATTGAGGTTACACGGAGGTGCGGGGGTGGGGATCTTTGTCTTTATTATGCATCTCTGAGCAGCGGCGTAAGCATGGCGCGGTTCCTCCGGAACGAGGGACGAGATGAGAAGGAAATGAGGAAACTCGCCATTTGGTGAAGGAGGCGCTTCCAGCGCTCCCCCGCCCCGGGGAGAGGCAGCGAGGGAGTGGCGAGTGGTCGCAGGGAGCTGGGAACTAGTCGCGGGGAGTTAGCTGGTTGCAGGGAACTGGTCTCCGATTAGCTCGTCGCCATGGACAAGATGAACAGCCTGGCGCAGTTCCTGCGCGCGAACAGCATCTCGCTGGTGAACGGCGGCATCGCGCTGACGACGTTGGGCGGGCAGCAGCTCTTCTCGCTGCTCGCCTACAACTGCCCCTGCGCCGTCACCGCCAACTACGCGTACGGGGTGGTCGCCATCGGGGTGCCCGCCCTGCTGCTGCTCGCGCTCGGCTGGGCGCTCAACCCCACCGCGTGGCTCCTGCTGGGCGACTGCTGCCGCCGCAGCCGCGGCTCCGCACCCACCCCGCTGTGCGCCCTGCTCGGAGCCCTGCTCGGCGTGGCGACCCGCGCTGCCGTGGCCCCGCTCACGTGGATCGCCGTGTCGCTGCTGTCGGGCGACTTCTACGTGTGCGCCGCCAGCGAGTTCAGGAGTCCCGGGGAGTTCGTGCGCGGTGGCGTGCGCGGCGGCGTGGCGGTCACTCCAAGCCGCGACGCGCCGCGCCACGACTTGGCCGCAGTGCCCTGCAAGGGGGAGCCGCTCGGACTGAACCTGGCCCCGGGCTTCTCTCGGGACGCGATGCTCAGGCAACTCAAGTACGAGTCCCAGGTAACCACCCTTCATGACCGTGATGATGATGGTAAACAACAACCGAGGTATTTGTATCCCCGCGGTGGCGTTCCCCCCAGATCCATCACCGAATCCGTCACCGCAAAACGCCAAATGATCCAGTGATGATGACGATGGCATCAGCAACAAGTCAATGACGAGAGGGCTTCAGGAGAGAGAGAGTTCAGTGTCGTGTTGCTTGCTGTTCCTCCGATGGAGGAGCGCAGTCCCCACAGCGGTCGTTGACTGAATGAGACTTTGATGAACGCTTCGCATGATACGAAGAGAGAGTTCCAGTGCTTTTCCGTGGTCGGAGGTTAAAGGGGAGCCAAAGGGAAACAGATGGCAGTGACAGCCTGGCGCCTTGTTGTGGGTCACTGTGGGTGGCACGGAAAACCAGTGGCTGGTTTCTGGCTCGCTCGTGGGCTTCACGTGGCAGCTCCCTTTGTCTCTTTGTAGACATCGGGCTCTCCCACGTGGACTGAGACTGCAACTCAGAGACTACAACTCACCTCGATCATAACCACGTCTCACGGCGCCTCCCTCCTCACGACGTCTCCCTCTTCCCCACGTCTCCCTACTCAGGACGTCTCCGTCCTCCCCATGTCTCCCTCCCGACGTCTCCCTCATCTCTCCCTCCCGACGTCTCCCTCATCTCTGCGTGTCCCTCATATAGACATCTCAAGCCAGGTCCTCCCTTTCCACCGAAACGGATCCCTCCTGCTCTTAGTGCGTGAAGAGCGATAACTGCCTCGTATCCTGACAGCGATTACCAGATAACCTGGCAATAATAATCTGGCAATAATAATCTGGAAATTATAACTTAGTAATGATAACCTGGCAATGATAACCTGCCAATAATAATCTGGAAATGATAACTTAGTAATGATAACTTCGTAATGATAACCTGGCATTAATCTGGAAATGCTAACTTAGTAATGATAACTTGGCAATGGTAACCTGGCAATGATAACCTGGCAATGATAGCCTGATGATAACCTGGCAATAATCTGGAAATGATAACCTAGCAATGATAACCTGACAATGATAGCCTGGCAATAATAACCTGGCAATGATAATCTGGCGATGATAACTTGCAATGATAACCTGGCATTGATAACCAGGGAACATGTTCTCGGGGAAGGTGTTTCTTGGTGAAAGTTGAGGCTGTTCATAGTGAATTCGTCACGAATAGCGGCCAAACAATCCCCATGGAACGATCGGGCGTCAAGAGGCCACCATCCAGCAGTTGTTTGGCACGCACCGTTCACAAAACTATCTAAGATAACTCTACACACAGCCATAGTGTGTGCATATGTATGTTGAACCTCTTTCACACCACACGTAGCCAACCATGCCATTCGGAGATGTGTGTCATCATACACCGTCTATGTTCCCACGCTATCGAGTGGCTCCGTGGTAGAGCGGTCGTTAGGAGGGTTGCGAGTTAAAGTCGCAGAGTGCAGCAGCAGCAGACATCGCGGCGTTCCACTTGGGTAGCACAGACCACGGACCCACGATGCGTACCTGGGCCGTGTGTTATCCTCCCCTCCCCTACTGTCGTAGCGAGCTTCTGGCGTGGCAGCATGTTGGTTATCCTGTGTGGTAACCTGGCACGCAGATGTAATTATTTAAAAAAACTATCAAAATTAACATTTGTTTTGCTTGAATGATTCTTATAGCACTAACATTTTTCGCCAAACCATTAGAGATAGCGTGTTATTTAGAGTCTTGTGTTCTCTGGGTCCTCCGGGTTTTCATTCCACATGCAGAAACATGCGTTTCGAGTATTTGGCTGCAATAAATGTCCACGTGATAATCTATTTCGTTGAGCTATCATTTGTGGCCAGGTCGCTTCCGAAAAAGAGCTACATAGCTCAGTGGGCTTTACCTGGTCAAATAAAAATAGTAGATCATAATGGCGTCCAATCTGATATCTGTTTGGATTTAAAACGCGGGATGGGATATGTTAATCTAAGCGACCGAATTATAATAGGCTAAGCAAACCACGTTGTATGCGCCAGTCACATTCCTGTTTTATGTAAAGTGTAACTTTACACTTATACTCACATTTTCGCAGCCAGCATCAAGATTCGGAGTTAAATCTTTTGTTAGGCTGTGTAGCCCAGCAACATCTTTGTTAAGACTTTCCACCACCCAACACTGCCAAACAAACATTGCCACGTATTCGAGTGTTTAATTGGCCACTTATTGCTGTTGTTTCACCTACCGGTGAGTTTAACATTTCTCACAACGAAATGTATCAGTTGGCTAAGTTTCGCCTGAGACTACGTGAAGCATCCATTCGGATACGATTCAGGAAGTAGGAATAAAAATGCAGATCAAGATTTTCCTAAATTGTTGGTATTTTTGTTGTGTTTGCTTGAAAAGACAAACTGTTGCGAGAAAAACTGTTTCAGAAAAAAATCTAGGCGCATCAAGTCTTTAACGTAAAATGCACGCGTCTTATTGCGTGCGTGAAAACGTCGACAAAATTTGTTCTTGAATTGTGACCTCATTACATTTGGGGTGGTGGGGGTCGAGAATTGGTTAGTCCGTGGGCCAGAACAGAAACTGGTACCACTTCAGGTAGAAAAACTTTACCCCCACTGATGTATTTACATGGCTGTCAAAAGCACATTGCTGTCGATAACACGCGCATTTCAAACGATTATTAAATAATATAATTAATTCACTGTTGTTGGCTGCATCAAGAAATTGGAACCGCTAAAGGTGGTGCCTATTGAGCAGAATACCCTGCCCAAGGCCCTTGGGCTTGTTACAAAATGTTGTCCATGCCTGGCATCATTGCGTTCCCTCTGCGTGGTGTCAAAACCCGCACGGCGATTCCCAGTCGATGCCGGAAGCTTGGCTTGATCCTTGACAGTAAGGCGTGATGGCCAGCAATATCACATTCTTTTGAAAAATGTATACAGGTGGTTGTAACCTTTTATCATTGTTATCCAAATAAACACAAATACGCATCAGTTTATTTATTTAGACTGGAGGAGGAATCCGATGAGCTGTGAAGCTCTTTTGCACAGATGTCCAGTCGGGATGGGGTCAGCAAATTACAGTAAGTAACTGCAGTAGTTAGCAGTACTACTGACATAAATACAGTATACGTGTCATTCCAACTCTTTCCTACACATACAGTAGACTCGATTATCCACGCTAATGACCGGGGGGATGGCCGTGGTTAATTCAAAATCACGGATAATCCAAAAATATAAATTTTCCACTGATCTCTATGCCAAAAATCACGAATATTAGGTATACATTATGTTTAAGTTAAGAAAATTTAGTTTTTTAATCAACTAAACTAAAATTTGAAGTAAAGAATCGAGCAATTGATTATGCACATACTCAGTGATGACACTTTCCTGCTCCCGTGAAGAAGACTCTACCCACTAAGTGGACATCAGAGCCACGCCAACTCCTGTACTGTAGGGGCGGTCACGTGGATTTCTGGTGAACCGGAGCACATATTTGTTCAGTTTAAGCACGTGACTTGCAATACACATTTACAAGAATAACAGTGCATAACTGTGTTTAGATTATTAATTTGGGCTTAAGGGAAAATCCATGAGTTATTCATTTATGTGAAAATATCTGGTGTGCAAATTGGATAAACTGCACGCGGATAATCGAGAATCTGCTGAATAAGTTTTTCAGTACCTCCGATTAGCACGGTTGGCTACGTCCGGTGCAAACTAAGTTCAACATACATACAGTACATATCAGCATTTCTGAACCAATAGTGGTACGATTATAGTGAGCGCCTCCATTTTAGTGCTGAATGTGAATGCTGTGTGCATCGCTTGCTTATATTTTTACCTGCATGTTGGAGCCGCGAGGAATTGTGCTTTGTTTCGCTGGTTTATCGCGATTGTGCTGCTGCTGTGTCTGATTGTAGCTCATGGGCTGGATCTTGATTGGGAGCGCAGGACTCATCCTCTTCTTCAGCATGTGTGTCCGAGGTGAGCATCTCGTTTGATGATCTCACGGCGTGCGTGGCCATCGTTAATTTCGAAAAGTGTCCACAATTTATCAATTCAATCTTGATTTGAAGCTTTCGTGACTGCAGGAATCCATACTCTTTGTTTTTTTAGGTAAAGTCACAGAGGTATAAAATAATATCAAATTTCTGAAACTGAACGTTCGTAATTTGAGGGATCCCTGAAAATTGCCTACTCGCAGTAATGACATGTCCAGTCAAACCTCTGGATGCCAGATCAAACCTCTGGGGGATGTCTGGCATCTTGCAAATAATTTAATCCATGCATCATTATTCATATGAAATTAAGTTGACGCCATAGACATTTGATTAAAAAAAAAGTGCGGACTTGATGCCTTGTAAAGAGGTGTATGTTTGGTATTTGAACATCTTAACACCTCCTGCATTATTGCCGGAAAGGCTAAAGCTTATTCTTTTTTCATCATTTTGATACTGGAAAAAATGGCCCCATAGCTATAACCTAACACATTTACTTAAAGCAATATGTTTACAATTAAAATGAGTGAGCCCAGCAAGGCGCTTGGATGGGGGTTGTTCAACTATACTTCGCCATGCACAGACACCATGGGAGCATAGAATCGCAGTCCAACAATGGATGTAGCTGCACTGCTGGCCTACTATCCGCGATGTAGCCTCTGATCACCTGGCCCGCATGGTGACTGACCACCCTTCCCTGCACCAGCTATGCTCAGCCATGCTGGGCGAGTGACATCTGATATGATCGGGTGCACTGCGGGTGATTTGGTTAAAGGCTCATTCTTTCTCCAGGTCGTCACTTCAAAAAACAACCACCTGGTGCGTTCCAGGGAAGGTCTTCGCCACCTGTCATAAGCGTGGCAAACCAGGAAGCGAAACTCCTGATTGTCTTTTCTCGATTGTAAAGCAATTCGTTTGGAAACCTCATGGGGAAGTGCGACCCTTCGTGTCGGAAAACGGCCCACGGGAGCGGATATCGCAGAGCTACCTCTGAGATCCCTTCAAGTGACCTCTCTCTGGTCCTGGAGGGGTCAAGTGGACTTGATTTGTAGGCACCATACGAGAAAGGTTTGAAAAGCACTGCTGTAAGAGCAGAGCTTGGAGGACTAGGTTCCACTTCCAATTAGTACGGTTGGCTATATACGGTGGGAAATAAAGTTCTACATACATATAGACTCGCACAGAGACCCACAAACTCGCACAGAGACCCACAGACTCGCACAGCGACCCATAGTTTTTGCCCTTCCCCCGCACTTTCGATAAGCATGGTTGGCTACGTACGGTGCAAAAAAAGTTCAACATAATACATAGACTCGCACAGAGACCCATAGACTCACACAGAGACCCATAGACTCGCATAGAGATCCATAGTTTGTTGTTCCCCCGCACCTTCGATAAGCATGGTTGGCTACGTACGGTGCGAAAGAAGTTCAACATACGTACCATACAACATACACTTGGTTAACGGCTGTGGACACGGGCAGAAGGAATTGATGATGTGGCGTGAGATGCATTCTACTTTAAATGCAGCATGTGCTGGCTTGCCTGCTTTTTAAAATATGAGTTGTTTAACCCCTTTTGTCACCACAGGAAATAAATATTTATTTTCTCAGCTGTGACATTGCCGACTCCTGACATTGGTCAACATAAGGAGACGAGACACACCGTGTGATCGGGGTGTGCATAGCTTGCTGTGGCCATGCCCGTTAAACACATGAACATGACGCTTCATAGATTTCGTAGCGTTAATCGTGTAGAGGTGTTAACTACTCACTGTTCGGTAACCTGCATTGCCACTAGGTATCAAAGGGGCAGTGCAGCGTTACCTCTGTGTACATAAGGGTTGGGGTCAGACGAGGTGAAGTGGATCGTAGCCACAGTTTGGTAAGAACAAATCAGACAGTTCCACGTGGGAATGTGGGATTGGTTACACTTGGCCACAAACGGGTATAAAGAAGGGTGACCGCGCAGAGCGCGGAGAGTTCTCTCCCTCCACGAAGACCGAAGCCCGGGCTGAAGATAGCCAGGACCCTGGACCCAGCCTTCCAGCCCTTCTGAGGGCTAAGGCTCGGCACATCAAGTGGTCAAGACCCGACGGGCCAGCAGTGGGTCAGATAGCCTCCCCTAGGTCCCAGCCGGAGGACTCTAGGATAGCGGTAGAGGTGTGAGTAAGTCCCGCCAAGATAAGAGGCTGTACCTCCTTAGGTTAGGAAGAGACCTGTGTGTAGGTCACGCTAAGTCCGGAGGCTGTACCTTCTTAGGGTATCGGGTGAGGGGACCGTATACCCCTCTGTGTGTTAAGGACTGTGTAAAGAGAAGTATTACAATAAACAGTGTGCCTCATAAGAAGTTTATTAATCATTATAAACACTACAACTGTAACACTAAACGTCAATCTATGTTATTTCGCCTGTTACCCAGGAGAGCCCTTGCTAAGTCCAACGACATTTCAGGAGAGTCCTGCCAAGTGTTGCTCTGTGCAATCCCCAATTTAGTAATTTGCTGTTTATATTTGGCCAATACCTAGGTGCATTGTATCGGGGTTTTTTTAGCTACGGGAAGAAATCGGAGAACCCAAAAAGGTGCTCTAGTCGGGAATCGAACGCAAGCGAGGCGTGCCGTGAGGCACGAGTGTTTACCGCCGCCACCGCTCGCTAATAACTGTGCGTGTTGTTGTTCTTTTGGCCGGAACAGCGTGCATCTCTCCCATGGGCCACCTGCAGGCCACCTACCTGTCGCAGTACCTGGACCACGAGGCCCGGCTCTTTGAGCAGACCTCCGAGGTGCATGCCCGAAGCGTCGCGGCCAACAACGTGCGCCGCTTCTTTGGTTTCCTCCGCACGGAGGAGAAGGGCCTGCCCGTGGAGAGCGAGCAGAACCTGAATCAGCTGCCCGGGGACAAGTGGGAAAAGATCACGGGGCTGTGCCACAGCTTCCAAAACAACAAGGCTTACCCTTTCTACAGCCGGCTTCAGCAGTGGGCGATCCAGAGCAACAATAAGCAGGGTGACGACGTGCCCATGATGGACACCTGTACGTAAGCCTTGAAATCAAACTATAGAGGTCCGCGCTTCGCAGCTGTCATTGTCGCGAGTGGGGTTCAGCGAGCGGCTGTGCGGAGCGCATTTTAGTCGGGGAATTCTGGGGGTTACTCGATAACAGCCACCCAGATTGTCACTTATCAAAGTGCTATAAAATGCCAAAAAGGCAAAGACGACATTTGTATTTTGTATTTGACTCGCATTTCATCTTAATATTGTTAAAATTAATTGCACAATCACGATGGCCTTTGATAGGATTTACGTAAAAAAAATCCGCATCTTCAGAGAGTATTCTGTAGCGCTAATTTATTCATGACCCTAGCGACAGTGTGAGAATTTCAAATTCCTGTGGCAGGGACCAGCCTATTCATAAGACAACCACTGTTGATTGCCCGCAAAGAGATTCTTAATGTGTTGACCCGAGCAAAATGATAGACTGAGTCTACCACGACGAGGATTTGAACTGGCAAACTTCCACTCATTAGGCATGCCAGGGTGAACGTACGCACGTAAATCCAAGGCCCTCCCCACACTGCAGGGTGGAGGTGTTTTTTTTACCATACTTCACATCGGTCAGTGCAGGTTGGTGATACAGGGATCATAGATGTGGATGCATAGAAGTACATTACAACAATGTGATTTACTCTACTGCCCTCTGCTGCCCACTCCATAGCCGTGCAGCAGCCAATAGTGCCTGTTGTGCATGACCGTCACCCATCCAGGCACCCATCCAGACACTATCCAGTCTCAAACCTGCTTAGCTTTATTCCCTCTGAAGAAAGGGCCACGAGCCTAAAATGTCACCTGTTGACTATGTAACGTTTACGGCCGAAGTGTTATTGCTGAACATGTTGAGTCTCTTACCGCTGAGCTTGATGATGAGTTTGTCATGGGCGTTGGCTAAAATGACAACTTCCTGATTTTAATTAAGCGTATCCGTGACAATGTTGAAAAACATTACATTTTAAACGAGTGTTTTTAAAATAAAACGGTTTACCGTTACATAAAGTAGACTTATGAAGTGTCATGTTTTTCAACATTGTTCTGTCCAAGTCTGTGTTGTCTTATTTTCCAAAGTACAGTCTTGTTCTCCTATGACGCGGTAGTAGTTGCGGTCCTGAAGAACACTGCGTTCCGGAAAAATCGCGTTATGATAAATAATATAAAGCACAGTCCACGATAACACGTGAGATGCGTACGCCGGCTGAACAAAGACTGAGGTGCGTGGGTAGCATCTAGAAGCATCCAGCAGCATCCCGCTTTGTGCGACGTTATGCCGAGGCAGCTGTACGATCGCTTATTCCTACTCGCGCGACGTAGTCCCATTCGCTTGATTGTGTTATATCCAATTCGCATACACGTTATAAAAAATGTGTTCCCTAAATACATTCATCGCATTATATCCAATTTGCGTTATGAAAACTGCACGTTACAAGAGAACAGACTGTACAAATACCTCCAGAATAATTCAGAGGGCCAATGCAGTTCCACTGGGCACCACTGTGACTACTTGAAACGCCATTGCACCTCAGTGTTTTCACACGCTCGTAGATACCACTCGTGATTATTCAATATGAAACCGCGTGGAAAAGTTTTTAGCGTGAAGGAGACGGTGACCAAAATTGGGTTCGTGGGTAATAGTCGTGAAAAATTAGGCCATTATTTAACCGGGTGAGGCAGTAAATCGAAGCATGTGACCCCCAGTTACGCTATATTTTAAGTTCACATATATATCTCGGTTATTTACACAATTGATGTTAATTTACATGGACTTGTAGGATTGTGTGCCAGTCTTGCATGTGCATATTTTACTGGTAGGAACCTCCTGGTTACACCAGCCCACAGGGGATTATTGTGTCGTCTGTCGTGCATCCAAAAATGGGACGGGTGGGGCTGGGTGGAGAGGGGAGGGTGGGGAGGGAGGGGCTGGGTGGGGAGGGGAGGGTGTGGAGGGGTTGGGTAGGCAGGGGCTGGGTAGGGAGGGGCTGGGTGGGGAGGGTGGGAGGGGTGGGGCTGGGTGGGGAGGGGTGGGGCTGGGTGGGGAGGGGCTGGTCACCCCGTGGTGCCCTTATAAAACTCAACGTTTAACCTACTCACGCCGGCTTGTGCCCGCCCTCACAGTCGGGCATATTTGCGGAATACACCACGCCGCCGTTGACCTTGGCCATTGACCGAGCAACCCAACGTTCCTACCAGCTCCCTCCGCAGGAATGTGTTAAAGAGTGCTGCACTCAAAGCTCAAATTTTAAAAACGCCCCCAACAATTGTGACTTAGTTTCACGTTCCCAGTTTTATTTTAAGCAGGTGAGAAAGCAAGAAGCCATTTGTTCAACGCAAGCAAACTCTGGACCCGTGTTGGTGTTTAGCGTCTCATCAGCACTCAGCCTTGCTTGGTTGGAAATGTAATCCTTTGACACCAGACGTGTACTGTACGTATACTGTTTTTTTATTTATACATTAACTGTTACATTTGTGGAACCTTGCAGTGTTTGTGAATGACCAAACTGTGTGTTCCGGACGTTGGGAGCGTAAATTCATTCAAGGGAAGACTGGAGTGGGAAGAAGCGTTGGGGACTTGCAGCGATGAACTCGCAGAGGTCACGAGCCGGTGGTTTCACCCTTCTCTCTCTTCTCCTGCACGCACGCGAAACCGGCCCGCGACACGATGGCACCGTGTGTCTATGATGACACACGGCGGGAGGTGGGCGGACGTTGTTTCGTCCCTCGTTCGCTCGACGCGTTGTGTTGAACTCTTAACCACTCGGAGTACCGGAGTTCAATGTTTTGAATGCAATAGTAAAGCACGAGCCAGAATGTTAAACGAACGTTTTGTATGTATGTTGTTTTTTTACACTTTTCTAACTTGTTTTATTGACTAAACTTTGAAAACGAAGACTTTCATCATGATATGATGACTATGCAGCTTCGCAACCGGGATCATGCTGGTCATTGACAACAGTGTGACATAAACAGATATAGAAATACATATTCAAAATGTATTGTGGTTTTGTGATTTTTGTTACATGCCAGACTCCATTATCACTTTTACATGACTAAATGTCAAGTGTGCACATACTTGCCGAATAAAATCTCAAATGAGTAAATTGCAGTCACGTGTTGCATTGGAATATTTGACCAATACCAGCGACATTGTAGTGTCTGTGTGTTCGTTATTGCGGGGAGCGGTGGCGCAGCGGTCAGCCCGCTGCGCTTCGAACCCAGCGACCCGAGTTCGATTCCCACTCACGGCCAGCACCGGTGACGATTATCTGAACTGGTTCTGGGCATCCTCTAGGTCGACTCAACCTCAAATTAGTAACTAGTGTGGTGTTTAAACAGAGAACCTCCGTCTTGGAGAAGTCAATGTCATGTGAGCCCACTGAATTATAACAGTGATCTGCCACGGCTGAGGTGTTTGTCCTACCGTGTTTCAGGTCTGCTTTATGTTCACGGATGCGGTCTGAGACATGTTTTTCCGACGGTTCTGTTTCTTCACCTGAGGATGGCTGCTTGTGTTGTGGCCGAAACGCCGTGAGCATTTTATTTTATGTTTTATTTTTATTTTATTTGTATTTTCCTTCTACATGACCAAGAAGATGAATCCCTGCAGTCACGAAAGCTTTAAATCGACATTTAATCGCCTCTATGGGGAGGGATTCCACTTAACCTTGAGATCCTTCAACAAACTCCGGGATAAGAAGGCTCAACTAATCGAGTCTCTCATCTTTCTGAAGAGATGCCGCGACTCTAAGGTAATACCAAGCACATTTACACTAACCTCTGCTGCTGTAACTTCTAATGCAAAACGAATTTTATATAGAACTAGCTTAGCTCTTATCTCAGAAAAATCAGACTTACACGCACCGAACTCTACAAATCACACTTATCATTGACGGCAACAATGTCCACATCGGATTGGGAACATGTAGACAATATGACTGCCTCTTCAGCTGCTACTATGTCGACCAAATGTAAGGACAACTTGATTTCCAAATTCAACCTCTCCAACAAGAAATCGGACACACACCGAAAAGCTAGACGTTAACAAAGTCGTTATTAATTGCAGTAACAGTTCTATTTCTGATGGTCTGAAATCCGTTTTAGCTAAAGGGCTAAACTTTGCAGTGACACCTAGACACACCAGTTAATAATATCATTGCCCATGTCGACGTGGCTCTCAAGGGCCTGGGTCACATCGCTGCAGACCTAGCAAGATCTGAAATCGCTGCAACCCTCAAAAACGCTAAGATGCCAGCTAGCAACATCAGCAAAGATTAGCGTTTGAATGGTCTCAATTAAAAAAGAGGAATGACATTGTCATCCTCTCAGCCGACAAGGGCAATGCCACTGTCATCATGGACAAAATTGAATATAACAACAAAATTCAGGAACTACTCAACGATGGCACAATTCAGATTTGAAACACGGCAGAACGAATTCTTCTGCCATAGCTGATCACTGTTATAACGCTGTGGGTGATGATGATAGAGTTTTCTCCGATACCAAGGTTCTCTGCAAACCCACGGGTTTTTATCAGAGATTTGTCCACGAGGCAATTCAGATTTACAAACACAGACACAATTTCAACCGAGAGGATGGTTTCAAATTAAGCAAACATTGGAAAGATGTTCTAAATCAAACCAAACATTAAACTAATTTTCAATGGTACAGTATATTTTTTCAAGTAGTGGTATCCCAAACTTTCACAGCAGCTTATTTCCCTTCACCTCAACATGTAAACTCCCCCCCCCCCCACCATGCCGGTCCAGTACATCATTTTATGCTAATTCCTTTGTCAAGGCGTTTTTTGTTTCCTCCCACACAGCTTAAAGGACGCGACCTGGGCTTGGCTGTCTTCACTCCAACGCTGTACAGTCCGGTCCCTTCACCTGATGAAGGCCACTTGTGTTGTGGCCGAAACGTCGTGATTTTTGTTATTTTATTTTTACCTACGTGACTTTATCGAATAGAACCAACGAGTATGGATCCTTGCAGTCACGAAAGCTTCCAATCTAGAATAAGAAGGGACCCCACCAACAGCCTCATCATTAAAACCAACAAAATCAATTCTGATTCAACCGCATTAATTGATCAAACCAAACAGTTCTCGTTGAAACCTTCTGCAGACAGGCCTCCAAGATTATATGGCCTTCTAAAGATACATAAAGAAGATACACCCCTTCGTCCCATTGTCTCGACTATCAACTCCCCCACCTACAAACTGGTTCGTTTTTTGTCTGAAATCCTGCGGCCTTTTACTGGAAAAACCACCTCTGCGGTACTAAACTCTACTGACCTGGTATGGACAATCAAGGCCATTTCCCTGTCCGCAGACGACCTGCTTGTCAGTTTTGATATGGTTTCCTTATTCACCAAAATTCCTGTACCTGACACCATCGCAATCATTGAAGACTTGGTTAATCAAGGACTGCATACTGATGTAACCCCCTGGTGAGACACTGCTTAACCAACACATACTTCACCTGGAATGGAACTTTCAACAAACAAACTGCGGGCACCCCATTGGGCTCCCCCCTATCTCCGGTTGTGGTCAACGTTTTCATGGAGAAATTTGAGACTGACGCCATCCAGACTGCCACTCTATGCCCGACCTTACGTGGATGACACTTTTGTCATCTGGCCACATGGCCGGCCAGCTCTAGACCAATTCCTCGACCACATCAATTCCATACACCCAGCCATCAGATTCACCATGGAAGTCGAAAAAGATGGCAAGCTACCCTTTTTGGATGTCCTAATTAGAAGGAGACCTGATGGTTCAATGAGCCACTCTGTATTACAGGAAAGCTACCCATACGGATGCTTACTTAAAACCGGATTCCCACCACCATCCATCCCAGAAGAATTCCCTCATCAAGACTCTACACCATAGAGCCCAATGCATCTCCGACCAGGAACACATTGCCAGTGAACTCAAGCACGTACACCAAGCTCTCAAGGCTAATGGTTACTCCGACTACACAATCCGCAAAGCCATCACTCAAACTATGAAGAAGGATCCTCTTGAACCATTCAAAACCATCACCTTACCCTACATTGCGGAGGTCACAAAAAAGATCTCCAAAATCCTGAATAAACACAAGATCCAGGTCCGATTCAACACAGTACATGAAATCCGTGATCTGGTCCCGTCTGTAAAAGATGTGGTTCCAGACATACAGTACCTGGGCGTCTACAAACTAAGTTGCCTCTGTGGTAGCAGTTACATTTGAGAAACCAAACGACATGTCTCGGACCGCATCTGTGAACATAAAGCAGACCTGAAACACGGTAGGATGAACACCTCAGCCATGGCAGATCACTGTTATAATTCAGTGGGCTCACATGACATTGACTTCTCCAAGACGGAGGTTCTCTGTAAGCCATCCGGCTACTATGAGAGATTCGTTCATGAGGCCATCCACATATACAAACAGAGAGACAATTTCAACTGAGAAGATGGATTCTGGCCTAGTAATCATTGGAAGGACGTGATAAACCATTTCGGTTCTTGATTGATTGTGTTTTACAGTGACTTTCAGACCGCAGTCCACTCGCTGGCATTGCCTCTTCGTACCTTTCACGCGACGGTCAATGGTATGGTATATAGCATATAAATAGTATAACAGTGTAATGTTTAATATAATTTATAAGGTAATATATAGTATCGTAATTGTGTAGTGAATATACAGGAGTGTGGTATACAGTAGGGTTGGTAGAATAATACATAGTGTAATATTACAAGTCTAATATTTTT